AATCAAAAGCAAGAATCAATCATATTGAAGAATTTTACAACAGTTGCAAAGCAGCTTTCTTTGCTGAACGCAGCTATTGTTTACACCACTGTAAATATCGCTTCACCAGCCTTAAGATGGTCTTAGGGCTGTCGCAGACAAAATTTCTGTAACAGTAATCTTAAGACATGGACTTAAGCCGATGAGCCAATCAGGATACTGCTTTAGATCTACGTAATCTAACGGAAATAGAAATAGCAATAAACTTATTCATAAAGCGAGTTTCAACCGGTTGAAATTCGCCTTATTGTGAGGTTATGGATAAGTTTACTGTTATTTCCATTTCCGTTAGATTACGTAGATCTAAAGCAATTTCCTGATTGGCTCATCGGCTTAAGTTTACACCTTACGCATAGGCTGCGTTCAGCAGAACGGTTGGTTTGCAACTGTTGGAAGTTTCCTTCGCGCTGATTGGATCATACTTTTAAATCTAGAAGAATGGTCCTATCTCAGCAGACAATCATAAAACGGTTGCAAAACTGTTGAGTCTGCTGAACGCACCCATACTGTTACAGAATTTTGTCTGCGGCAGCCCTTAAGAATAAGTTCTGACTATGAATACGGCCCAATGTATGTATTTGTTGCTGGTGTAATTTGTGTTCAAAGCTGAAAAAAATAAAAAATTACCGATTTCTTTATCCATTTTACCTTCAGCGTTGGTCGCCACACTGAGATAAAAATGGATAAAGAAATCTGTAATTTTTTATTTTTTTCGGCTTTGAACACAAAATACACCAGCGACAAATACATCAGCAAGTACATTTTAATCGTGGAAAAGGAATTTTTATTCTGTGAAACCATTACGAAGAAATTCGATAGGATCAAAAATGTCAAAAACGCTAGTTTTATCGGTAATACAGGCGGCTCATACCAGCATCCCCTTAATTGGCCTTAGTGAAACCGGTTCTATATGCAGGAAAGTGCATGTTGGAGAACATTTGATTAGTTATTTTCAGTATTGCTATCGCCATTATGCGCAACATTTCATCTTATTGACGAGATACTATTAAAGATCGTCAGACCCGGGCGAATTTTCGTGACCATAATAAGCAATGGATCCCGGAAATTACAGGATAATTGAACGATGACGTTATCGACAATTAATAAAAATTTACGATTAATATAAATATTTTTCGATAATACATTATTAAATTTGTGATTTTTTTATTATATAAATGCTGTATAAATAAGTATGCATATACTTTTAATGCTATATCTTATATATTGCTAAAAAATTACAATTTTTTCTTTGCAGTCATTATCTCTATTGATAATCAAACTTGGATGGCAACATTAAAATCAGTTTTAAATAAAAATCGAGTATTATTAAGTTTTAAATATATACATGTCTAATAAATCATAAAATTGGTACTGTATTATTAGTTTCTTACTCTTAATCACTTTTAACAGGCACGTAAATTTCCATCGACCGTCTTTAACAGTACCTTGTCGATGACCTTATTAATTCCACCATGATACTATCGACACCGATCAAGTTCGGCTCAGTTCAGCTATCAACATCCACTTCAACGTATTACGAAAGTTTCCGAGTTTTTTATTAATAATTCTTGCTGTCTGTTGCTAATCGATTGTAAAAAACAACTTTTCACAAGAACCAAATTTCAATATTTCTAATAGATTACAGATTTCTTGCAATGTTTGTACACATAATCAGTTACATACATCATACATCCGATAACGCGCGATATGATGCTAATAATTGTATAATTAATAAATTCATTATAAGTCCGTTTCCTTTCTTTCGAGAATCGGAAATGTGAATATAACTACATCGATCTTCGTTCACATTCAGCTTCGTTTTATCGAATCAGAGAATCCTCTCGTAGAATAAGAGATACGCTTGACTTTGTAACACTGTATTTTCATCTACCTCTGATACCCTAGAATAAATAGATACAATAAATGTAGAATAAATAGAATAGATATAAAAAATGACAATAAATGTTAAATAGTGATAAAACAAAGTGTAATAATTATACTAGTAATTACTCATATTACACATGAAATAAATTAGCAAACAAGTGTAACAATTTTTACTACATTTCTCATGACAAGAAGTAATATATTGTATGCAACATCAATTTTTCATGAGTACGAGATTTGTGCTTAGAAAATTACGTTTAATTTTTTAAACGAAAAAGCAATTTCTGGAATTAATTTTATAATCTCCTGTAGCTCATGATATTAATTTTGTTATATATATACACATATTTTTTGTGGTTTCTGATAAATATGTTATAATAACAAGGATCTTACCGAGAATCTGATACATAATACCATTTCCCAGGTGGTGGTTCCACAATGGATATACCTTTTGCTGATGCTTCTTCCTCATCTGAATCTGAACTACTCGACTCGTTATTCGCCTTAGGATCTTTATCCTTTGGAAGAAACTTCCATCGAGGATCATCTGGTGATAGCGGCAGTCTCGTCTAATAGGAACATAAATGAAGGGTTCAATAAGCAACAATAATTCTTCAAATTTATTATGCCACAATCACATATTTTTGTACTTTTTCTTTGACTTTTTAGTTTTTATTGTAATATGGTTGCAACAATTTTAATAAATTCTTTCAATATAATCATGTAAATAAAAATATAAATTCATATATATATAAATACGAGGTTCTAACATATTTTTATTTAAAGCTATTTTCAATGCACATTCCTACTCAGATTTTTTGAGAAACAAGTTTATTATCTTATGTATAAAGACGCTCTTGTTAATGTAAAAACAATGAAATATTATACAAGGTCAATAATCGAGCCTAAGATGGTTGACAAATCTGTATAAAGATATAAAATATAAAAGAGAGAGATCATAAAAAAATATAAAATTAATTTATGATAAAATTTTTTTATGACCTTTTATATTTTATATCTTTATACAGATTTGTCAACCATCTTAGGCTCGATTATTGACCTTGTATAATATTTCATCATTATCTTATCTTTTTATAAAATCTCAAATATCCTGTTAAAGTGCGAAAGTTTTAAAATCTGAATATAATCTACCTTGACATAAGCAACGTAGTGACCACCATGAACGGTTCCACTGTGTTCGACGACTCCATAAAGTGCATAAAGTCGAGATTTTTTGCGATCTGTGCAAACTGGTGCTAAGTCCAATAATATCGGAAACGACACATGCTTGAAAACCTTCCGAAAACCGACTCTCTGTGTTTGAAATCTTTTCAAATGCAATATTAATATCGGGGGCACTTGAGAGATGAGGTATTGCTTTGTACTAGAAGTGCATACCATCTTCGACGAACCTTCCTGATTCTGAGGAAAAAAAAGAAAAGTAAAAATGAAATGGTATTATTCTCACTCGCATAAGGAGACAAAAAAGAAAATGTTATAACAGTTCTCACATATTTCTCGAATGTACCAAGTTTCTTTAGAGATCTTGAGAAGGATCACTTTCTTTTCTTTTTGAGTTACCTTCTTCTCACGAGCTGTGCATGCCTCGCATACGACTTTGTTACTTCCCGTCATTAGCTCTAGCGCGGTGAATTGATTCAAGCACGATTCCACGGAACATTCACCCTCCTTGGTTGTGTACCTGCCAGGTGATTGATGCCCGGCGATTCCCAGTCTAGACATTCCCGTCACTATATCACCAAGCTCATTATACACATCTTGCTCTTCGGGATCATCTCCGTTCGAAGTTCCATTATTATATTTCCTTCTACCATACCTTGATAAAGTAGTAGCCATCCATGTCTCAACTCCATCCAATCTGAGAAAATACCACATTTAAGTCAAAGGAGAATGTAATTAGGGCTGTTTTTCGACCAAAATGAAAAAGTTCTG